TTTTGCTACTGTTATGAATCAGGTGACTCCTGTGAAAGGGTCGTTCAACCCCCAAAGGGGTCGTGACTCACAGGTTGAGAGCCGCTGGTATAGAGGGAAATCCAGAAATGACAAGTACAGGATAAACTGTACTCTTTTGGCTTTATACTCTTAATGGGATGATTTACAGCTTCTGGTGGGGGAAAAAGGTATCTGATGGAAATTGTGTTGGTACTTGAACACACACACACACACACACACACACACACAAGATTTGAGCACATTCTTGATGAGGCCAGTGAAATCCATTTCATTGTCATGTACTGATGTATGTATGCTAGGCAGTTTGGCAATGAAACAGGTAATAATGGATACACAGGTCTCTAATCAAACATAAGTTGTGGCAACCTCCATTTTTTATGTAGAGTATGAAAGTCATCATTTAAGTGGACACAGTGACCTTGATGGAAAACAATTCTGAAGTCAGAGGCAGCTTCACATGGCTAGAAATGATCAGAAATTCAGAAAGCACTTGATACACGATCACTTGGCCTGCCTTAGCTAGGATTTAAGGTTAGAACAGATAGGGTAATCAACAAAGTTTTATTCCCTAGAATAATGAATGAGGTTTAAATACAATGTAATATAAAGGCATGTGGCATTTATTACATTCAAATTAATGTTTAATATAGATCATCTACTTGAACAAGAGATATCCAATAGCTCAATTACTCATTGCTAAATCTTTAACTGCCAATCTCTTCACCATGACTCTTCGAAGGTCCTTGATATACATTGGCAAAATGTCAAATTATATGCCCAATTTTAGGTAGGGATAACATTTATGATTAAAAGTGAAAGGGCTACTTCCTTTAAGAAGAAGAAAAAATCAATCCCAAGGAATTGCAAAGTACATGGACTAACTTCACAGGTGTACCATGCCACACACATAAGATTTTTCCACTCCTCCACAGCTCACTAGGTTAGTCTGACAGAGCACCTGACTTTAACACACACACACACACACACACACACACACACACACACACACACACACACACACACACACACACACACACACACACACACCCAATGAAATAGATATAGAGAAAGGTATGTACATTTTGAAGGTGTTACATTAAACAGCTATTCCACAATCTGGCTGATTTTAGGACTGTCCAACAATACTGCTAATCCAGGTGAACTATTTAATCAGATTTAATAATTGATTAATAATAAGATTCCAAGTTAAACAAGGCATGTATACATTAAAGAAAGCAGTACAGAAATGTACTGTATATGAACTGTTTACAAAAACATACAAAATGTTGGGTGGCACAAAGGATACAGTGCTAATATAAACAGATTGTTTAAGCTAAGTGCTTAACATAAAGTGTCCATCCCCTATAACTAACAAAGAATATTTAAGGGACATAAAATATCTGCTATAAAAATAATGCTATATGGTATAGAGTACTTTATTCAGTGTACTTTAGGTGGTATTCATATGTCTGTTTTTCTTCTTGTTGAGTCAGTGAATACGTCTCTGTCATGTTTCCATTTTCTTTCAATCTGAAGCTCCAGGAAAATTTAACTTGTGAACAATCATTTAAAACAGTGGTTCTCAACCTTCCTAATGCTGAGACCCTTTAATATAGGTTCTCATGTTGTGTTGACCCCAACCACAAAACTATTTTCGTTGCTACTTCCTAACTGTCAGTTTGCTACTGTTATGAATCATCATGTAAATATCTGATATGCAGGATGTATTTTCATTGTTACAAATTGAACATAATTAAAGGATAGTGATTAATCACAAAACAATGTGTAATTATATATTGTGAAATACTATTTCTAATTATAAATAAATGAAATTTTGTCTTGAAGCATGGTGTAGCATGGGTAACAGTCTTAATATAACAACATTAAACTACATTGCTACATTTTGGGACAGTATGTGTAAAATGCCAACTTCAGTGCGAAGGTTGAGATATCTTCTTTCTCACCAGATCAGAAATTCTCGGGGAAGTCATTGCAAGAGCACAACGATGACCATCATCCACGACAAGTCTACTTCTGTATTTAGACTTGATAACCAACAAACTGGAAAACCCTGTTTCACAAAGATATGTTGTTGGAAATGGAAGAAGACGCAATACAGTCTCAGACAGAACAGGATCTGACTGCAAACACTTGATCTAGAATATCATAACGGGCATTGTAGAGAAATCAGTTCTCGCTGCATCACTGTGAATATGTTCAATGAGCTCCTCTTGTGCTGTCTCAGGAACATCTTCAACTTTGATGGAGAATGGGCTTCTGGCAAGTGTAAATGGGGTGTTAGGTAGATTTGGAAAGGTTGATGAAATTTCATCTGCAAGCATGTGTATTATTTCACAGAAATTATCATCGTAATTCTTTTGTCTTGTTCAATGTCAAGTTCCTCAAAGAAAGCAGATAAGGTTGGTAACATGTAAATTTTATTTTCATCCACTTTTTTTTGCCAAAGCTGAAGTTTCATTTGGAATGATCGGATTTTTTCAGACAAATTGAGGATAAATTTAATTCATTCAAGATGGCAAAGATGTCAACCAAGTAAGCTATTTTTTGCAGTTCACTTTTATTGCTGAAAAGTGTTTTGAACTGCAGTCTTGCTTTCTGATTACTTCTTGTAACCCTTGTGGCAGCGTCTTCATTGCTAATATTTACCGATGAATCATACAGTGAGTTCCAATGACTTTGGGTGCCTCATTCAGTACCAAATGTTGAAATCCAGATTGACATCCTAGCATAGCTGGAGCACCATCTATGCAAACACCACAAACTTTTTCCCAACAGATCCTATGTTCTTTCAGAAATGAACCAACTGTGTAAAATACATCACGTGCAGCAGTTGTTTCAAGAGGGTTGCCAAAAAGAAACTCATCTTTAAAGTTGCCATCATGAATATACCTCATGTAAATCAGTAACTGAACAGTTTGCAACATCTGTAGATTCATCATGCTGGAAGCTAAATATTGGAAGTGGAGCAGACTTAATTTCCTGAATTACCTGATCAAGAATATCAGCAGACATGTCATCTATTCTTCTGCGGACAGTGCCATTAGATAAGGAAATTGCACAGCATTTCATAACAAATTTGTCTCCGATCATAACTCGAACCATGTCTTTGGCCGCTGGCAACAGTAAATCCTCAGCAGTGGTGTGAGGTTTCATAGCTCTGGCGACTCTGAGTGCCACCAAATGTGAAGCTTCAACGGCTGCTACATTTTGTGGTACTTGCCACCAGTGTCAAGTCTGGCTTTCTTGAGTCCATCAGCTTTGCTTCTAAAATAGTTGGTACCCTTGCCGGCAAAGCTCGGATGCTTGCTATCAAAATGGCGTTTTAGTTTGTTTGGCTTCACAGATTCAGCTGATAGAACTGCACAACAAATAACACATTGTGGTTTCTCAATTCCTGCTGTAATTATTGAGGTAAAACCATACTGTAAAAAATCCTCACTATATTTCCTTTTCTTAAAGTTCTTCTCTACACGATCCATTGTCATGGGATGGTTTGCTAATGAAAATAATATATAACAATAGCTTTAATAATACAAAAGATGGTGCATGGCATAGTTCAGTCAATACAGTTCATTAAAGTTTCCTATGATTTACCATTCTCTGTTGTTTTTTTTACATACCTGTTACTATCACAAGGGGGCAGTATTCACATCAACCAAGGCTGAATACAAAAAGACCGATCAGCATCCAAATTAAGTTCCCATGGTACAGATATATTTTTTCGCATTAATTGATGATTTTACAGTACATGATTTTACATTTACTGAGTAATTATAATTCATGAAGTGTTGTTTTACCTTTAATACTGCTGCTTTCAACACAGTAGCTGCTTTTTAACAGAGTAGCTGCTTTCAACACAGCAGCTGCTCTCTACACGTGTGACTGGTCCGCATAAGTACATTATGGCGCAAACCCTGTCACACACACCTGTATTTGTATGGGGTGTATGTGATGGGGTTGGCGCGAGATGTCTTCACGCCGGGTTCTCGTATATGGGCGTATCTGCATGTGGGCAGACCCGCCTGGAGACAGATTGAGGAGTGGTGTCTCGGTTCCCAAGACCATCGGAAATATGTGTTTTCTGACGGTCTTAGGCAGTGGTTCTCAACCTTCCTAATGCCGCGACCCTTTAATAGAGTTCCTCATGTTGAGGTGACCCCAACCATAAAATTATTTTTGTTGCTACTTCATAACTGTAATTTTGCTACTGTTATGAATCGTCATGTAAATATCTGATATGCAGGATGTATTTTCATTGTTACAAATGGAACATAATTAAAGCATAGTGATGAATCACAAAAACAATATGTAATTATATATTGTGAAATATTTATTTCCAATGACAAATAAATGAAATGTTGTCTTGAAGCATGGTGTAGCATGGGTAACAGTCTTCACGCCAGGGACTCGTATGTGGGCATATCTTCATGTGGGCGGACCCACCTGGAGATGGATAGAGGAGCGGTGTCTCCGTTCCTAAGACCATCGGAAAAATATGTTTTCTGATGGTCTTAGGTGACCCCTGTGAAAGAGTCGTTTGACCCCCAAAGGGGTCGCGACCCACAGGTTGAGAACCGCTGGTCTTAGATGACCCCTGTGAAAGGGTCGTACGTTCAACCCCCAAAGGGGTTGCAACCCACAGGTTGAGAACCGCTGATTTAAAGCGAGAAGAGACAAAAGCAGGAGCAGCAGCAGGAGCAGCAGCATTATGGGTACCAGCTGGGACAGTGTGTGCTTGCAGGTGTCTTTCAGATATGTGCTACCTGTCGCCAGAACTTGTGCTATCAGCTTGCATCATGGTACCAAATAACTCACTGAGGTTCACTTCACAGAGCTGTTGAGGTGATTTTTTTAATACCTCTCCGCTGAGCAAGAGTAGAGCGGCCTACTGGTTCCAAAATTGGTGATTGGTTACGGTTTAAAGCAGAATATGTAGCTGCCATGGCACCCTAAAAAAAGTAAAGAAAGGCAACAACAAAAATGACATGGGGGTAAGTCAGTCACATACACCAAACACAAAATGGAAATTTCATATGCAGATTTATATATATGAGGCTCACAGCAAAAATCAACACTCAGGTCAAACCCCTGATGGTGTGGAAATCACAGGCGCTAATGTGGGAGAGATGACAGGGTGGGCTCATATAGTAAGCAGTTCTCTCTCAACTCAGGACTCATTACTTCCTTGTAACCCTGTAGCATGAGAGGCAGCATGGTCTGCTCTTTTGAAACCTGTGTTGTCACTGCTGCTGAGTTTGGTTGCTTTGTCAAGGAAAGTATGGTAATCCATAATCTGTTTTAAAGGGTAGCTGTGATTTGGAATCCCCTCGATGGCAGAAGGTGTTTTAGGTAAGCTACTGCCATCGAGTGGATTCCAACTCATAATGACCTAATAGGATAGGGTAGAGCTGGATCTGTGCATTTCCAAGGCTGGAGAAAGAAAGCCTCATCTTTTTCCTGTGGAGTGGCTGGTTGTTTCAAACTGCTAACCCTGAGGTTTGCAGCTCAATGCGTAACATACTACACCACCAGGGCTTCCTACCAAACGTGTGACCTATGAATTGATTTCGTCCCATAGCAATTCATGGGCAGAACTGCCTTGTGGTTTCCAAGGCTGTACCAGTACAGAAGCAGTCTGTCGCACCATCTTTCTACCAAGGAGCAGCTGGTGCGTTCAGATGAGCTGCACCACCATGGCTCAAGTTTCCTGCTTTGGTAGATGGAAATGAATTCAAAGTCCCACTGAAGTCTTTCGCCTTTTCTTTCCTAAATCATTCCTGGTGCCAAAGGAAATGTACTGGTTTTGTTTGTTGGCCACAAGATGTGGAGAGCTGACCTTATAACTCCTGCAGCATTTGGTCAGTACAAACCTTTACTAGGTGGGGTGCATCCTGTCTGTTTAGCTGGTACTGTGGCAGTTGGTCCCAGTGGACAATCCAGGGATGTCTGAGCACAAGGGCAGCAGTCAGCCTCTGATGAGGGTCTACATGAAGCATTTTTGACACCAGGTCCTGTAATTGGCATAGGAATGGAGACACAACTTCATTAGTTTTGTGTTTTCCTGTGGTGACAGATACTACTGGGCATACTTTCATAGAAGCTGTGATGCTGTTTTTTGTTTTTCCTGATAAGACCTTTCAGCTGAATGCAACATGTAGAACATAATAATTTGGTAAAAGCTAACACACATACTCCTCATTTATTGATCTGGTTAGGTCTCATGACCAGGTCATTATACAAAAATGAGCTGTATGCGACCATGAAGGATGACTATAACAGATCACAACATGAAGACTAGCCATGACATTATGTAACTGCCATACTATATCATTAAATGACTACCAACCCAGTGAGCATCATGGCTCACTTAGGTTGACATATAGTAACCATCAAAGCAAGCATTATACTTGCCTTGTGATGACTGCTAGTCATAGGGTTTTTTTTAGTCATAGGTCATTTATGGACACAATAATTAGATAGATTTACTTCTATTGTCTTAAGTGCTAAATGTCAAATAAGATAGGTCATTATAGTTTATATCCTCCCTATCCTCTAGAGATTTTTTAGAGTGCTCTTTAAAATTTTTTCTTTCAAAAAAGTTCCAAAGGAACTCCTAGGCATTATAGAAAAATGTAGAAAAGCAAAAGAAATTGCCCATAACCCCTTAGAAAGAAAAATCACTGCAAACAGACTCTATCCAAATGCTTTACTGCGCAAATATCTTATATCTACCTAATTACTCCTCAGTTTTACTTAAAAAATTGTAGCAATTGTGATAGTAATCACACATAAAAAAGCTACCCACATTAAAATCCATTTATTATACCTTGAATTTTTCATTCAAAATATACACGATATTTCAGTAAAGGTCAAGGATCCTATTTGGCACTATGTATTTAAAAGTGAAAAAGATAGATATGAACTCTGACCTCATAAAGCTTGCAGTCCAGTGAAGGACAATCAAAGAAGCAATTACAAAGCAAGTAAGTTCTTTAATGGGATGAATATTCGAGTTAGCTGGAAGAACAGACAGACACCTGACCTGATCTGGGTGGGGTGCCATAGAAGTGACTTCTCAAGAGGAAGGTGGGCTCTGAAGGGTAAGCAGCAGCTAGATTAGAGAAGGGGAGGGGGAAACAGTGTTTCAGGCAGAAAGAACGGTGTTTGGAGGAAAGCTTTCAGGGGTGAGGGAACAAGCCTCAAGTAAGTAGGTGAAAGGAGTACAATGTGGTTGTAGCACACATTGTAAAGGAGAATGAAGATCAGATAAAGTGGGTGAGTTGAGAAGAAGAGACAAGATCATGAAGACCATGGGAGTAAATTTGGAATTATTCTGGAAGTAATGAAGCATTTAAACCAATACAAGATTGTATTGAAAAGCTCAGGTCTGCAGATGCCACTGAAGTGACTAGGAGGAGAGATGACAGCATCAGGGACAGGAAAACTGAGGTATTCATGAGAAAGAAGCAACACAAGTTGGTAAATAATTGGATAATGGGGACCAGGGAGATGTTACTCCAAGCACTCCTTTGCTACGAGACAGCTATGGTTTCTTACTTTTTGTTACTACTAACAGCAAGAAGAATCATCTACTAAATAGAATTATAAACAAAAACGAGAAGTTAGGAACCTCCTCTTACAAATTCTAAAAAGTAGACCAGTGTTTAAAATGTATATACAAGGTTGCAAAACTGCCCAAGGGAATACAAACTGACTATTCTTGCTGTCCACTTTCCCTTTAAATGGTAACAATTCCCAGAACGCCTTCTTTGGTTTTCTCATAATTCATTTCATTCATCATAATTCATTCATGCCTAGGGTTCTAATTGTGACAGATGACGAAACCCTTATCTTCAAAACTCCATCCCCATGATTTTCTGCTAAAATGATGTCTTAATGGACATCTCTTAGTTATTTATTACCTAAACACTTTGTCCAAATCATCACTCTTCATCAAAACACTTCTAGTGAATTTCACATTTTGGTGAATGCACCACCACATGGTAGAAATGTAGACGGCATGCTTGACATCTACATTCCCCTCACTTTTATGTCCAATAAACTACCAAGTCCATTCTGCTTCCTAAGTTTCTTTACCATTTGGCTTAAATCCTACTGCAACTACTCTAGTTTAGGTCCTTGTTCTTGATCTGGAATATTGAAAATCATCTAAATCAAAATCCTAATATCAGGTCACTGAGGACTGAATCAAACAATGCAGGTAAACATGTCAGCAAATGACTTGGCTCCTAAGTGCTTACTGAATGATAGCTATGGTCCTGTCCTTCTCCAACTCATGTATGACATATATTGCTCCTTTTGTTGATGGCATCCATGTAGACAACATGCACTTGTGAGGAAACAACAACTTGACAAGAGCGGCTAGTCCCAATATTGTGGGCAATTGTAATATAATTACATCATGCTTATAATCATAAACCTTAACTGTATGATATAGCACAAGTTACAAGCAATAACTATAGAACTTAGGGCAATTTATGCCATGCTGTGAGTTGGATATACTTCTCTGTCTCTATCGTCACTTAGCTTTTCATCAGATTAAAATAAATACTCAAACTCACTGCCCTCGAGTTGATTCTGACTGATTGTGAGCCTATAAGAGCAGAGTAGACTGTTCCGGTGGGTTTCCAACCTGTGAATCTTTTTTTTAATCTTTTGTCCTTCTTTTTATTTTTTTAAAATCATTTTATTGGGGGTCCAACCTATGAACCTTTATGGGAGCAAAAAGACTTATCTTTCTCCAGAAGAATGTCTGGCGGTTTAAACTGCTGACCTTGCAGTTAGCAGCCTAATTTGTAACCTACCAAGTAAAATATAAGTGAATGAGAACAAAACGACAGAGAACCTGGTGTCATTATTCTAGAAATAAGGGTTTTGGAATCAGCTTTATTTTTTTTTTGAAGTGCCATGGGGAAATTTTCAGGAAAATTCTGACTGTTGAATTCCATATGAAATGGAGATCCTGCCACCTGTAGTTGTTAAGAGGATTCAATAAGACAAGTTAAATGTGAAGGCTGACACTATCAAAATCAGTCATGTTTCTCATTAAGAAATGGCTGTAGATCTATCTTCTGGGAAAGAAACACAAACCTAATCCATTTTTGAGTTTAAGGTATTAGGGAGTGTCAACTGAAAAGTCCCTAACTAATTTATTCCATTCACTGGGGATTATAAAACTTTATTTCCTCAAAGGCATGTAATTCACACTCACCTTGGCTGTATCTGAAACAGAATTCCAGTAACCACCACTGAGTGAGAATTTCCCACTACCTATTCGAGCCAGTATTTCTTCTGGGGTATCATCAGGGCCATTTGCAAATGGAGTGTAACTAACAGAAGAAAATTAAAATGTTAATGAGTAATAGGTCTTATGTGGTTGGGAGTCTTTAGGTTTATATCCAGTGCTCAAAAGTACACTGAATATTTAATTCACAGGGTATTTAATAAATCACTGATTAAGATCTACCCCCTAAACCCCACCTACATATGAAGTCAAATAAAGCTGTGTTCAAGTTCAAACGTGAAAAATATTAAGATGCATAAATATAAATATTGTAAGAGATAATATGTTATAAAATAGGGTATTATTTTAAAATATCATTGTTTTTGATATAACAATAGATACCAAAATAGAATCTAAAAATTTTTTAAAATCATTTTGAGATTTCAAGACATATCAATTGCAACATAGCTATAATTTTATCTATTATATTGGATAGTATGGGGAAAAAACCAGAAAACCACTATAAGAAATGGATTAAAAGATCCAGGTAATTTAAACAAGATTATGATGAATAAATGTTTACAACACACAGGCTAACTTACCCGGTAAGCATTGTGTACAGGAGAACACCGAGACTCCATATATCACAAGCAGCATCATAGCCTTGTCTTTTTAGAACCTAGAAAAGCAAACATAAAGATTACATAACATTGTTTGTTTGGATAGGACATGATCGAAAACCAAATTGAATTAGAAAGACATCAACAAAATAAGACTTAAACAGGTAATCATGTTAATCTTATCCTATATCTAAAACTACAAACTTACATAAATACAAACATTGAATTTTGGTATGCAAAGTAACATTTATTGAGTGCTAGCATGGGCACAGAAAGAGAAAATAAATGGAGCATAATTTTCTTATTTGAATGAATTTATAGTTTGCATGGGGCTATTGACATTGTTACAGAAAATGACTTTTAAGAACACTTCGTAAAAATGATTGAGTATAATATATAGAGACAACTTGATTCATTCTATCATTTAATGATCATAAGGCATGAACCGTGACAGAAAGAAAAAAAACAAACCAAGAAAACATAACTTTCTGCCTGATAGGAAAATCAGGATCAGGCAGTGGATATAAATAAAAAGGTTAATAATTCAATGTGATCTATGTCATAATAAAATTATGTCCTATGGGTTTTAAAGGTGAAAAGCTATTTCTTCTATGTAGAGAGGGCCTCATGCTTATAGGAGGCCTGTAAGTATGGATTCAGTAGGCAAAGGGAGGAGGGGAAACGCAGAGGACCTTCAAAGGGTAGAGGTATGCTAGGCAAGACATTTATTGGTGTCAGAGGGCAAAGTTGTGATATTAGCAGTAGAAAGACTTCATGTCTATGAGTAAATATTTTGCTAAGGAATTTATTTTTTCCTGGAGGCAATCAGATATCACTGAAGCATTCAACAGGAAAACGAAAGATTCTCAAGGTATAGAGAAAGTGCTGGAAAGAGGAGACTGGAAGAACACCCAATAGGAGGCAATTTATCATGTACTCTGTCTGGGAAAGGTTGTGAGGATCAGCACTCTGCAACGAGGAAGAGAAAAAACTGTGTCTGGGTTAAACTGGAAGCACAGCATAGATCAGATGTCTATGATAAAGGAACAGGGGTCTAAAATAACTAGGAGTCAGAATGGGAAGAGTTCTGGTTATACAGAAATGGAGAGGAAAGGGGATTTAACTCGGATGACTAACTGGTGCACGGGAGACAAGTCTAATGAAGAGTTTAATCATGGATGATTTCCCAAGGAAGGTGAATTTAGGGGAAGGTTTTGAAATAAAAGTATTTCAGGAATGGAATGAACAAAGGCATAATTTTACATGGCAAACTCATGAAGCAGGCGGCTTGTATGAAGCAGGAAATGTGTATTTGGAAAATGAACTCACTAGAATAGTTGACCAAGCTTGACCAACATTGTGTGGCACAGACTGGATACATGGACAAACAAGTAAACAAGTCTTTCCACTGCTAATATCACGACTTTGCACGAGGCCCTCTCTACATAGAAGAAATAGCTTTTCACCTTTAAAACCCATAGGACATAATTTTATTATGACATAGATCACATTGAATTATTAACCTTTTAATTTATTTCCACTGCCTGATCCTGATTTTTCTAATGGGTCCACTCACGCGGGAAAGTGCACATTCAACATGGGAAAGAGCACATTCAAGCAGGCTATTGAGAGAAATAGCATTTTACATCTAAAAGGTAACAAAACTGTGAAAGATCTACAGCTCATGGTAAAACAACAGATTTTGGAGACAAACGGTATGCACATGCAGATCTGATTTCAGGCAAGTTACCTAACACTGCTCACTTCTGTACCTAGGCTTCCTATAAAATTCAAATAAAAGTACTCCCCTTATATACTCACAAGGGGGAATCAATTAGTTTATATAAACTAGAGGTTGTGATGTTTCAATATTGAAATATATATGTCCGGCATATAAGTCACTTATTAGGGGTAATGATTACTTTTACTATTATCTTTTAATAGTCACATATATTTTATTGTTTTACATACTAAGAAAAAAAGACACGGAGTTTGAAGGACAAAATAATATATTTTAGATTTGATAGGATGTAATGGGAAACTAGAGGTGCTTAGCAAAAGGAAGCTGACCAAAGCAGTAGCTTTGCATCTATGGGTCAGACCTGGTGTTAGGAGCTGACAGAAAAGGGAGCTAGTTAGGTAGCTGAAGACAAAAAAATGACCTTGAAGTTTTAGCCTAAGAAAGAAACGGAAAGATAGTGATAAAACCCAGGAAACAACAACAAAAAAGGCATTAGGAAAAGAGTAGCGCTAGCTGGTCCCCATTAATTGCCCACACCGAGAGGAACCACACAGTTAGTGACAACAGACAGCCACAAAAATGTCATCTCCTACAAGACAGAAATTGGGGTAAGCATGGACTGGTGATAGACTTAACCCCCAATACAAGAAGAAGAGGAGCTGGCATTTTCTTCTCATTATTTTCACACAAGTAATAGTAATTATGCTATCTTAAACACAGCAAATAGGTGTTTTTTTTCATATACGGAAATATTGCAAGCAAACTATCACAATTACCTCTGGTGCCACAAAATTTGCAGTGTAACAAGGAGTCATTAGAAGACCATTTTCAGCTCGGAGTTGTTTTGCAAAACCAAAATCACAAATTCGAATTGACTCTGGATTACCAGATTCGTCCACATAAAGAATGTTGCTAGGTTTCAAGTCTCTGTGAACTACCTAATGGAAACACAAATTATAGGTACATTAACATTACAATTCCATTACTTGAATGTCCTCAGAAGCTCTCCAACAGCAAGATGATGACTGCCGTTTTGAAATTATCCCACAGGTACAAAATGCTGATAATGAACACAATTTGCACAGAATGCAAGTAGAAGTCCCCATCTTAGAACTGGGGCAAGGACTGAGAGGGCGATACAGTATTTATCTCCCTGCTCTCTGTCCAATTGAAAAATAAAGTAAAGAAAATAATGTAAATAACAATAATATCAAGCTTCAGGTTATTCAGTCATCCAGCAAATACTTATCATGTGCCAAGTCTTTATATAAGACGCTTAAGGCATCAGAGTGAGCATATATAAAGTGTTCCAAGACTTACCCCTTGTGCATGAAGATATTCCACAGTTTTGGTTATAGTAAACAGGACAGCACTGGCTTCGCGTTCAGAGAAAAATTTCTGTCTGAGAATTTTATCCAGCAATTCACCCCCTTTCATAAGTTCTGTTACTACGTACACGTATTTTCCATCATCATATACCTGTAAAATGCAACATTAAAATGTCAAAAAGAAATCGTACTTTTGTGTTTTCACATGAAAGTTCGCACATTAAAGGGAAACTGAGGCTTGCTTTATGCTGGTGGAATCTTTTCGTTTTTCTCACAATCACTGGGAGATATGAAACAGATGGGTCTGACTAGAAGTACATCCAGTCACTTCTTCCTGTGAAACATAATTCAAGGCAATCTAAGTAAATATGCATGAAGACTGAACTTCTGGTTTTAGGGGCTCATTCCCCTTCTTTAAAAAAAACCATTTCCCCCCATTCCCCTTCTTGATCTCTTTTTTATCTAGTGGTGACAGAACTGGTAGAAATACAAACTCCTGTGCTTTTCCTGAAACACCTGCATTTGTAGAACTTTTATGTGTAAATACAAAGTACAAATGAGTTATTCTGGTTTTGCTTAAATTAAAACACAAGTTGTAGACTAGTCCTAAACCAGAGGATACAGCAGCAAAGGCCTTCTAAACACAAAGGTACATCGGAAATTGCAGAATGGTGAAAGAGAGGTCACTGCAATTTTGGTTTGGTCCTCTGGGCAATCACAACCGGAAACCACCTGTTCAATAGTGCATTCCAGTCTCTCTTTATGCCTCACTGTAGAGTTCTTGGGAACCAAGAATAAGTACCAGGTACAATACCAGGTGTTGGGGCCCCAATTATGGAGAACACCAGGTTATTGGCCTTGAAGATTTTATACTCTAGTAGGGAGAAGCAGACATAAAAGACAGATAAGAGTAAGAAAATGTCACAGATGATGTAATAGAAGTCTGGAGGAAACGCTACAGGCATTGGAATCTGAAAGGAAGGAAGCAGCACAAATGTCAAAAACAAAACAAAACAGGGCAGGGACAAAGGCTGAAAGAAAGCAAACACTTGTTCTCCACTTCCTTTGAAATTTGCTTTGTAGGGTTCTTTGACATTGATGATGCTGTAGGTTAGGCACTGAGCTGTTAACACCAAGGTTTATGGTGTAATTCCACTAACCATCGCACTGGACAAAGATGAAGCTACCAGAAAGATGTGCTACCATAAAGGTTTGCAGTCTGGAAAATCTGGTGAGTCAGAATTGACTTGAAGGCAGTGGGCTTGGCTTGTTTTGTGTGTTTTTTAATTAAATGGTTTCACATTTTAATGGGATCAAGTTTAACATTTTCTTTCTAATACTGAGCAGTGATAAATTAATCTGAGGAAATCTCAGAGGTAAAAGTTACTTTAAAAGTTCTCCGTCTATGATTCCCAGAGTTATTGCCTATTTGAGCACCACAAGCAGGTGAGGATGTCATGCTAACGGGGGAGTTCATGTCCTTTGCCTACAGTTCATTTACGGTAAGCCAGGTGGGACATAGATAGTCAAGCATTATGGGAGCACAGAGGAAGATACCTCACTTCCACCTGGGGATGGTGATGAGGAAGGCAGACTTCCTGGAAGATGCAGTGCCTAAGCCAAGTCTTAGATGTGTGATAGGGACTTGGTCCTTCTAATCACAGGGACCATAAATTCAAAGACATAGAAGCATGCAAACATAAGACATGTAAAAAAATGTACATGACAAGGCATGGGCGTGTGAAGAAGTATGAAAACTACTACAGAGGTAGCAGGGGCAGGAATTTTAGGCAGTGAAGTAATATGGTCAGTAAAGTATGTGAAATGTCTGGCAGCACGATGGAAGGAGGATTGTGGAGTCCTTTCAGAGGTCAATGAAGGAATCCTGAATATTATTTCATTTCTAAATATTCCAAGCAAATACAGATCTTAAAAGCAATATTGATAGACATACTTTAATACTTGAAGAGTACACAAATGTTCTTAAAACTACATTTTAAACTTAATGAAATCCAGTTATTTTTGAAAATCTATTTTTAAACAGTCCAAGTATGTTAGTGATTCAAATGATTTGCATTAGAGAATCAACTTACGTCCTTTAGAGTAATAATGTTCGGATGCTGTCCATAACGAAGGAGGATTTCGATTTCTTCTGTTGGGTCTCTCTTACTTTTATCAATAATCTAAAAGGCAAATTGTAAAACAAAATCTCTATGAACCATGCATTTTTAACCTTTTCCTTAGAGTTATAAACCTAATGTATTATATTAATACTGACTATATAAGCTGTTAATCACCCAGTTTTATTTTAACACCTGGCCAGACTGTTTAATCAAAATGGGGAAAACCAGCTGGCAAAGAAGTAGCATAAATTCTACCCCATGAGTCACTTTCCTACCCAGTCTCTGATCTAGTTTTATAATAACTTTAGAACTTTCCAAGAACTAAAAAGGATAAAGAAAAGGAACCAAAAAATAGAGTAAGCATATATTTCTTCCATTCTTGAATGTTTTAAAACATTTAGCAAGACCATTACCTTCTAACTCAATACGGCCGACTACAAGCTAAATGCATCCCTATACCAATATCAGTAGTACTTCCTGCAATAAAATACCTCAATGGAATGTCACATTACTTGTAAGCTACTTATAAAAATTAATTAACAGTTAAGTAGAACAAGGTTATTTTTGAAGCTAGTCAAAAAGCAATGCAGAAACCACACCTACAATTTTACTTGGCTGGAATTATGTTTAATTATTTTAATAAAGCCTATTAAAGTACTAACATAGTTTTCCAACCCTTTTATTATCAGCTGCTACTTAAAAAAATGTTTCTATTAATGTTTTAATCTATTAAAGTAATATTATAGTTGAAGAAAAAAAGAGGGCGGGGCAACTCAAGTTTTGTTTTAATTTCATCCAAAGGGTAGTAAGAAACAAATTTTGTGGCTCTCATATTTTCTAATTGAAAATAACTTAATAACTAATATATATATATAATAGCAAAGACTAACAACCTAGAAAAGAGATCCCCTTTTCAATATGAACCCCATCTTCTATCAAAGATAGATTTAGTTGTAAACAGTTTCCTATTTGTAGAAGAGGGAAGACTGTGATGCAAAGGGCGGAATAGGCAATACCCGAACCAAACTCAATGCCATTGAATCAATTCTGACTCAGTGCAACCGAGAGACAGAGGCTACACATGTTTATGGATGCAGACTACCTCATCTTTCTCCCATGCAGCAGTTGGGTTCAAACCCCTGCTCTTTCAGTCACTAGCCCAACACGTTATCCACTATGCCACTAGGGGTCCTATATGGAATGATAGGCGAATCAGTCTTGTGAAAAACAGAATACACTGGAGGTGCTATTTTCAGCAATATTTTCTCCGATCTGAAGCCTAGCTATATATTGTTTATACAAGTGTTGTGGAACACAGCATTGTAATATTTGAGTAGAATCCATTTGTGCTGGGATTGGTTTGGTGCTTCTCTCTTAAATCACAAGGTTCCACAAGAGCTGGCCGATTTCTCAAACATTTGCCACTTTCCTTTTGGTTTCTGTAATTCAAAGGGGACCTCAGGGCATTTCTCCTATTTATGGTCTGTTTAAGGAGGCAAGATACATTTTTAAACTGTCTACCCAAGAACACTGTATCTTCTCCCTCTTTGCATGTGAACAATTGGAAAATTTCTATGTATTTCAAATGTTCTTTCAGAAGAAAAAAAATTAAAATGTAGTTCTATGGTTTCATCTTTATACCTAACAGAAAGGCTTATACAAAGGAAGGATAGAATCAACAATGCCATTTTCCCACAAACGAAACATAAAACACTGACATTTATCAACTAGTTCTCTGGTTAAAGTTAAGTTGAAGGCTTCTGACAGCACTTGAAATGTTCGTGATAGCAGAGGTGGCTAACCCAAAGAGTCAAAATGCAGAGACAACCATAGTATTTGCTCGTGTACAGCTAAAGTGTTGAAATTTTAACTTTATTGTGAAGTATGTGTCATGGCTTGCTGGCTTAGAAAATTCTTATTATCTTAAAATACCTAATGAAATTAAAATGGCTAATGAGAATTGATTTTGACACTAGTGGGAGTTATTATTATTTAGTCACAGTTCCATTTTCCATGGGAAGGAAGGTGTGAACATTTTGGCCAAATAAATGAGAACATAAAAAGTTCTGTACGCAGTTTGAGAGATTTCTTGACCATATAAAGGGATGCTCTTTTGAGAAGAAACCCACTTGCTGGGGAGTTGGTTACATTCATAGTGATACTACAGGACTGTGTAGAACTGCTCCAAAAGGGTTTTGAGGTTGTAAATCTTTCTGAAAGCGGACTAACTCATTTTTATCCCATGAAGCAGCTTATGTGTACTATGAAATTTTAGGTAAGCAGCTCAATGCTTAATCCACTGTCAGGGGTAAACTCAGCCTAATCAGATGTATGAAAACCTTAACTTTAGCCCACAGGGGAATAGATGACTTCAGATTATGATCCTGAAAATCATGCAGGTTTACACCTTTTTAATAATAAAAGGCATATTGACTAAAAAGGGAGAGTGTTTGCTTTATTAATGGTCCTGATATGCAATAAGAATTGTTTGAATTGTATTTTGAATTTGACAATATTTACCTTCACTGCAAACTCCATGTTTGTGGCTTTGTGGATACATCTCTTGCAAACAGAGTAGGAGCCAACTCCAATGTCTTCTTTGACTTCATATCCATCAGTAAACTGAATACTATTTCTGTGCAACTGCTACAAAGAGAATGATAGATTGACCAACCATTCATAATAACTTTGATATATTTTTTAATAGGGGGAAGGGTTACTCAGTAAGCATTGTTGGGGTTAAATAGGAATATGCATGGAAATTGGTAAAAATAAAAATGAATCTATAGCATTTATTCTCCCACAATTGTTTATTTTTACAGTGTCTACAATAAAAAATACAGAAAGAAGTAGGCTTTTAAAAAGCTTTGTTTGAAAGAAAAAAACCCTGACCATGATGTATAAAACAAAGCTACTTGATGAGGGGACACAGCCTTATTTATGACTCGGCCCCCTTCTACTTCTCAATAGGCTAGAGGTCTTTGAAGTCCATTAATAAATTGGGAGACGTTTGAAAATCTCTGGTATAAAAGAAAACATTTCGAGAGATTTAGAATGGAAACATCCAGATTCTTGTCTCAGATGTATTATTCACAGATCATGTGAAATTTAACCCCAGGGTTTTCTCAGATGAAAATAGTGAGGATTTAGTAGAATAGAATACTGGAAAGTGTTAACTTTTTAGAACCATCAGTAGCCATGTCCTTCCTTCTTTACCCTTGAGTAATACAACTTCTGCAAACCAACTGTTAATGGGTTAGGAACTAGTAACATGTCGAAGGAGAATGAACAACAAATTACTGGCTACACAGGTTGAGGGAAGCTGAACCTCCATGCTTCGGACACTCAAAGAGGTAACAACTTGAATTCTGTAGAATAAATATATAAAGTTGCAGTTTCTGTATTAGCTACATTAGTTATCATTTTAAAACTTTCCATACATTGCTATACTTATCATAGCCAAAGGGATAAACGAATTCAACCTGCCATGTTGCTTTTTAAAACGTGTTTAAATTGATTTACTGGAAGGTAGAAAACAGGACGACTGACTCACACAAACAACTTCACTTTTTGAAGTTTTCAAATTTGAAGCAAATTCAAATGCTAATTGTACCATCAAACTAATTTAATGTTTTAAAAGAAATATCTGGTATTCTATGATCAGGAAGAATGAATTTCATTTAGTGTTGCACGATATTACGATGGCAAGAGGTAATAAACCTAGTGAGTTAGTAATTAAAGTTAACTTGTGTTCCAGTAGTAATTACATAATCACACCCACACACACTACCACCCCACCCCCCACCTAAAAATCTCCCTTCAATCACTGGTTCTCTAACTCTGGTAATACAGATGGGAGTCTTACAGGTGCAGTGCAGTACTTAATTTGATCCTTGTAGGTAAATGAGGTGTATGGCATCCTTGTGGGGTGAACATGAATATAAGGCGCATGGCACCTGAATGTGGGGATCGGTCAGCTTTACCACTCCACTAGGCTTAAAATGAGCCATTGCATTAATGGGAAGGAGGATCTCATGACTGATTCATAAAGAATAATTATAGACTAATAAAGAATGTGTTCTTTGGTTTCAGGATCCCTGTGCTGGAAAGCTGCTCAATTCAAGAGACAGAAAGCAGTGATGCAAGAGATGGCAAGAAGCTAAAGAGGCAGCAGATAAAGCGGCTTAAGATGGAGCACTGGATTTCTCAGGCAGGGACCTGAGTGCTTGAGAACAAGAGGTTTACTGGGAAAGTGGGAAGTCTCTGGCACTTACAGGAAGAGCTAAGGAGCTTTGTAACACTTGCCTGAGGAGCGGAGAAGTGAGGCCTAGGAACTGCAGAAATACGGGCCAGAGAGAGCGCTGGAAGTGGGCACAGCTAAGAAGCAGCTCTCCTGATAGAAGAACTTTAGCCTGAGACCTTTCTTGATACTTCAAAAATAAGCTTCAACATTCTAAGTATGGTCTGTGAGTTCTGTTTGGCCACTGTTAATGAAGTATCAAACCCAGTAGAGAAGTAGAGCATGCTGAGGGTTTAGTAGTTGGTATTAGAAGTGGTATAAAGAGGGTGGAAGATAAATACCTGACCTTAACCTTGGGCTGCTCTTCTTGAGTTCCTTTCCCTCCTTTAAGTTAGAGATTAGATGCCATCCTTGTACCATTTTCATAGTAATGAAGGGAACCCTAACCAGTACTCCTAAGAATATCTCTTCCTAATGATAATAGTGGCTTCATGAGAATAAAGACACAGCGCTTGGAAAAATTCACACAATTTGAGTTCACTTTAATTTCTTTCATCTTTCTAGGGTAGGGATTGGCAAATCATGAGAAGAAAATAAAGCTCACTGCTTTTGCGAAGAGTTGCTGGCACAAAGCTATGCCAACTTCCGTATGCATTGTCTATGTCTCTTTTAAATCACAATGTCAGAGACGGACAGTTGTCTTGAAGAGCTGGAACGAAGATCTTGTGGCCCCAAAAGCCAACTTTCTGCCCTTAACAGGCAGTCAGCTGTCCTATTTTTCCAAACACCGGGGAACTAGGAACTAATCACTCACAGCTGACTGGAGTGAAGCTGCAGGTGAAAGCAAGGAGGCCTGAGAAACACCTGGAAAGCACAGGCGAGGAGCAAGACAAGATCACCTCTTAGAATTTCGCTCTCAGGCCACAGAGTGATGTAGGGCTTAGAGTTACGGCAGCTCTCCAGTCACCAAAGAAATAGCTAGTACTAATTTTCATTCCAACATATAAAAACATATTCTTAAGCTACTCACACAAAAAAATCAACGGATAAAATTTAGCTACTCAGGCACACATTGAAAATTATTTAGATATCACTCACCTGAACAATTGAATGCACACCAACTGTCTGCATTGCTTGGCTTTCATCATCTGAAGTGATTGCAACAAAGCTAAATCCCCGGAAGAGCTGATGCGCATTAGCACTAGGTGGAATGCCAGGTGAATCTGAAACCAATGAGAGGTTACTAGGATTCCTTTCTTTCTTATTCTGAGATTCTACTGTTCAAGTACCTAGTATATAGTTCTAAAAGAACTCATTCATTTGAATCTAACAAACTAATGCATTACTGGATTATTGTTATACTACATTTGTGCTGTCCAGTAGGGCATTATGCAAATTTTCCTTATCTATGTTGTATAATAAGGTGCTCAATAGCTACATGTAGCTATCAAGTACTTGAAATACTAGTGTGACTGAGAAATTGAAATTTTAATTAAATTAAACATGAAATTCAATTTAATTAAATAGTACAACTTAAAATGATAACCTAAGGGTGCTATGGCTGCTAGTTGGAGATTGGGGGGCTGATCTGTAGAGAATTTAATAGAATGGCATTTAGTCTGATGCTCTCAATACTTGGAATGGAAAGATTTAAGTCACAATTCAAAAATTTTTATATTTAATAAGTCAAATGAAGAACAAATGTTGTGTTGTTCTTAAAATGTATTTGGACATGATGTGTACTAGTATCTGAATGACTGATGTGGATTCCATCAGCAGAGACAAAATTGGAAATTCCTTCTAGAATATCATGTTCACTATAAAAAAAGAAAAACGTATTAAATGTGCTCTTCAGAAGGTGCTGAAGGGATCAGTTATCAGGCATCAAAGAACAAAAAATCTTATCATTGTGTGCTCACCTCCATGCTACGATCGCTGAAGACAAATGGGTGCATAAGCAAATGTGGCGAAGAAAGCTGATGGTGCCCAGCTATCAAAAGATACAGCGTCTGGGGTCTTAAAGGCTTGAAGGTAAACAAGTGGTCATGTAGCTTAGAAGCAACAAAGGCCACATGGGAGAAGCACACCAGCCTGTGCGATCATGAGGTGTCAAAGGGATCAGGTATCAGGCATCATCAGAACAAAAAATCTTATCATTGTGAATGAGGGGAAGAATGCAGAGTGGAGACCCAAAGCCCATTTGTAGGCCATTGGACATCACCAGCCAGTCAGGGTGCGATGTAGCAACGATGAAACATACAACTTTCCTCTAGTTCTTAAATGCTCACCCTCCCTCCCCACTATCATGACCCTAATTCCACCTTGGAAGTCTAGCTAGACCAGAGGATGTACATTGGTACAGATAGGAACTGGAAACACAGGGAATTCAGGGCGGATGATTCCTTCAGGAACAGTGGTGTGAGTGTCGATACTGGGAGGGAAGAAGGAGGGTGGGTTAGAAAGGGGGAACCGACTACAAGGATCTACATGTGACCTCCTCCCTGGGGGATGGACAACAGAAAAGTGGGTGAAGGGAGACGTTGGACAGGGCAAGATATGACAAAATAATAATTTATAAATTATCAAGGGTTCATGAGGGAGAGGGGAGTGGGAAGGGGAGGGAAAAATGAAGAGCTGATGCCAGGGGCTTAGGTGGAGAGCAAATGTTTTGAGAATGATGAGGGAAATGAATGTACAAATGTGCTTTACACAATTGATGTATGTATTGATTGTGATAAGAGTTGTATGTGCCCCTAATAAAACGATTAAAAAAACCAAATGTGGTATTCATAAATATAGGTACATTTGGGTACCATGATGTTTATAAACATACTATAAAGGCTAAAAGTAAGAGCAACAAATCATAGACAAATCTTAAAGATGTACTCAATATAAAGTTCTTTTTAAAAATCAGCTTAATGTTCTCAGCCTATGTATTGTTCAGTGGCTTTTAAATCAATGTGATTTATACTGCCAAGGATCACTGAGGTGCTGCAACATAAAACTGCTCTAGCCTGGGCTTTTTCCTTCAAAAAGAGAAATTGAACTGAGAAGCCAAGTAAAACATTATCATATATATATTCATTGCTATGTATATGGTAGGTCATGAAGTTTTTGTTCATGTATTGGTCTGAAACTTATGCTTCATACAAATTGTGACGACTCTGGCAGAAAAGCCTTCTTATAGCAAGATGTAAATGATATAACCAAGTTTCAGTCAAATATATGCAACCATGTCTTTGCTTGTGAATAATAAACCCTCATTTTGGTGCACCTAAATGAGAGCATTCAAGGGCAAAACAGAGTGGATACATGCACCCACCACTCTGTACAAACACCCAACTATAGGCTGCCATAGAATTAATTCAAAGAAAAAAAAATTTTTCCTGTAAGTCTCTACTTAATGCAATTTGAGGATCAAGCATGCCACAGGATATGATTCATTTTGAAGCCATCATATCTTATAAAATGTTTAAGGTATGCCTGAGACTTGACTTTTACAAGTACTTTCAGAATAGAACCTATAATTAGAGTTTTAAAGAGCACGATTTATATTGGAGAGTATATTGTATAAAAATAGCTACAGGTAAATAAATGTGTATTTTTTCCTAGATAAATTGTTTAAGAACATCTATTGGATTTATAAGTAGATGTGAAACCACGGGATTGAAATGCAGAAAGGTGCCTTCATATAATAAGTTTATCCACACAGACAAGGAAAAAAAAGTACAGCAAAATTTGCTAAAAGGTTTAATTAGCCTCTTGATGGTTAGAAAACATTGGGAAAAAACCTGCCAACTTTCAAATTATTATGGCACAAAGTATGCTTAAGAATGTTAAGTTGGCAAAGATATAAATTTCTTGGAAAAGATCTTTTTTAATTTAACACAAAAACAGATTTTTTTTAATATATCAGTGTTTGATCTGGTGTGTGATTTCTCTTTACCTTTTGGAGTTTTTGCAGTAAACTCAGGATCGAAATAGAATGTATCTTCAGGTCTACCAGTGGCAGGCTTAAAAGGTGGATGAATTTCTCTTCGGTACAATTTCTGGAAACAAAGAGAGAGACTTGAACTTGCGTTCAATATGATAAAATACGTCAGGCAAGTTTTCAGGCTATACTTACATTCCAGTCTATTGTTGAGAAAAATGAATGTCTTTTAATTTCTTCAACTCCATCTGGTCCCGCACCTACCAAAGGTTAAGGAGTTGTTATACTAATGGAAATTTTATTTTAGTATTTTATAATCTCATAACAAAAAAAAATCTACCACAGTTCCCTGCCCTGTTCCCTTAAATGTCAAACACAGACCACAAAAACAAAGTAATTAAAATAATTACCTAGTCTATTAGCAGGATTTCGTTTGAAAAGCATTCGTAAAAGACTCTGGGCTTCAGGACTCAAAAACTGTGGCATTCCAAGTTTGGCCCTAGATAATAGAACCACATAAGAATTTTAATTTTTGGAGGCATCTAAGTTTTTATTTAAAATTAAATTGTTTGTTAATTCTAGATTCATTCCCACTTGTAACAAATAACAGAACAACCTTATACCCTTTATACGATCGATTTCCCCCAATAGTTAACAGCTTACAAAATGATAGTACAGTAAGTTCATTCAGACAGCTCACGTTTTCCTCGTGTGTATTTAATTCCATGCAATTTTACCATATGTGTAGGTCCCTGTCATCACCAATACAATTAAGAGAATGAAAAGTTAAGATAGCTAAGACAATGACCACAACTACCTCTTCACTCTCACCTCCTTTCCCGGTTGTTGTGTTATAGCTGTACTATGCACATACAACAGGAAAAACATTTAAAAGACTGTGACATGCTGTGTCATCCTCACCATCATTGCTATTTGAGTCCAATGTTGCACACAAAGTGCCAGTCTTTCCACTAACCCCCCCGCTCCCCACCACGTCTGCTTTACCAAGCATGATGTCTTATAAAGGGACATGTTCAAAGGACATCCTGGCTTTCGAGGAGCATTTTGGCTGGACTTCGTCGAAGGTAGATTTGTTTGTTCTCTTGGTGGCACATGGCATAATCAATTTTCTTCACCACACCATAACTCAAGGTATCAGTGATTACTTAGTCCTATCCCTGTCCAATTTTTGCAAGTGTAGAAAGGGATTGAAAATACCACAGCTTGGGCTAGGTGCACCTTAGTAATCAAGGTACTATCTTGGCTTTGTAATACTTCCAAGAGGTCTTAATTTATGGTAGCCAAGAATCTGTTCTTCATTTCTGTCATGTAGAGGTTTCGTGTGTGAACATCTAACAGAATTTTAGTCCATTATCTTATGAACTCTTTCATTTCGATTATTTTCTGAGGAATATTAGTTTGAGAATAAGATCATCTTAATCTTAGCTCTAGTTGCTATTTAAGACTTCACAATTGGGGATTGTCAATCTTGTGGGACTACTACATTAAGTAAAGGGATTGGCTGGGTATTGGGCTTCCAAATTATATATAACATTGGAACTCTTTTCTCATAGACAGTTTATGGAAGTTCAATACTTAAAACTGAAAAAATGACATATGCTATATATTCCTATTCATCTTCCCATTCCCTTTAATAGCCTGTGCAGGGAAGAGGAGCAGGTGGGAAAGCAGTGTGTGGATTATCTAAGAATCTGTGTCACACAGTCTGAAAATCCCTGGCCTGGATACTTTTGAAGTTTGGTTTCTTTTCCCCAAATTATAAATTACAGAAACCCAAACTCCTGAAAAACATTTTAATGTAGAAAAATTCCATTAGTTTTTAATTTCATGAACTTTTTGAATAATAGTACATAATAACAGTAAATAATATCTTAAGTATTATAAATAACAGTAGGGAAAAAGGGATATTTCATAAATGTAGCCATTAATTATTCAGGGAGTGGTTACTGAGCTAATGTGCAAGCCTGGTGAGTGCTGAGGAACTAGATAGCCTCCTGTGGTTCAGCAGGGAAGATGGATATGCACAGAGGTAATACTGTATCATTAAAAAGTATCAATTTAGAAAGACAAAAAGCAAGAGTTCAAAAAGCAAAGTCTAGTTAATTCTGATTCAAAACAACCCTATGAGATTTATGGGAGATAAAAGTTGCCAGTGTTCCACATAGCATCAATACTTTGTATCATCATTTTTTTGAAACTGTGCACACACACCTTATTTCTTTTGCTTACCCAACTATATAGACAGTCTCCAGGTTATGAACAAAATCTGTCCTTTTAAGATTTTGTAAGTATGTTTGAACAGGTGCCAACCCCTAACTAAAATCAAACTCACTGCCACTGAGTCAATTTTGACCCAAGATGGCAAACACCTGAGAAGGTAAATACTAGAACAGACAGCCTCATCTTTCTTCCAGGGAGCCATGGGTGGGTTTGAACTGCCCACTACTGGTTAGCAGACCAACCAACACTTATCGCATAGTGCTGACAGGGCTAATAAAAACAGGTGCAAAAAAACACCCCAAAACAAAAGCAGGTGCATATGGTTCTTCTTTAGCCCTTCTTTAGTGGAAGAGAACGCTTAAAAGCTTTTCAGTGATTTACAGGGGGCTGGTTTAAGTGTTTCAAAACAAAGCTTCAAACTTGTTCTTCCAGGTGCAGACATGGCTGGTATGCAGCATGGCAGTACCATGCTCAAAGACTGCATGCTGCTTTGAATGTGTAATTCCCCGAAGTCTTGCCAATAATACCAAATATCATGCATCAGCTCCTGAAAGGGCTCACTAGGCATCTTCCAAAAGCCTCCATCCCAGGGCCTGAAATTGTAATCTTCTACATTTGATCTTAGCCAAAAGGCCGAGAAGTGATCAAACTGTAATTTTTCACTCTTTGTTATTATAAGTGGTGAATTATCCAAAGTGTCAAAATTCAGATCTGTTTCTGTTTTGTGTCTTTGGGTATAACAGAACCGGTGTGAGGCTGAGCATTAGAGGGCAATTAGTTTTCTCAACTTGGATGGATGGACTGCCGACACCGATTGCTAAGACCAGGGGTGTCAAACTGGCAGCTCATGGGCTACATACGGCCCCTGAGGTAATTTTTTGTGGCCCACAATGCTCTGAAATAAAATGAAAATAGAAAAATTGTTATGAAGAAAATAGTGCTTAGGGGTGATCGAGGCAATACCTTACACACAATCCCCTTATTAACCCTTTAACCACTGAAGAAGAGTATACATGTGGCCCAGTGCCTTTCCTGGGGGCCTGTGGACATGGATAAATGCGCTGACTCAGTTCTGGTGACATTTGGAAGTGATATGTCTGCCACTCTCAGTGTCCCGTAATGTAAACCGATCCCAATAGTGAAAAAGTTAAAAAGAGAACTCTGGGTTGTGCTGTTATGAATCATACCTAGCGGCAGCGCTAGGTAACATTTTTAGAGGGAGCCATTATGTTTGTCAGCTGTCAAACATTTTGTGTTTTTTATTAGTTACTTTGCTATATTTTCCAGTCACAACATAAGAGGTAAGTGAAAACTAGTAGGAGGAAATCACTGGCAATTTTCGGGTAAAAAAGAATAATTTTAGTTTTGTAAATACATTAAATAAAATAAATGTTTAAATAAAAGTACTTACAGTGTTTTAATTATCCTATCCATATTCCTGAATCTTCACTTCAAAATATAAATTTAACAAAATTTGGAAATGTGATGTGGCCCACGTGAATCTAGCCTGTTGCACCAAATGGCCCGTGTTTTAATTGAGTTTGACACCCCTGGCTAAAACTATGTGAACAGAAGTAAAATAATGGGCATCCTTGTCACAATTCCAATCTCAAAAGTAAAGCTTTCAGTAATCAGCCAGTAACAAAAAGATAACCACAGTACAGGTAATCCGTGATGTATAACGTTTCCAAGTTCGAATGAGTCAAACTTAAAGCCAACTTTGGGGGCGTGCATCTTATCAATTGTAATCTGTACTATATATACTGTTGTAGAGCATAATTTGCTAAGGCAATCAAATCTGAAGTTTGAATGTAATGTAAACTTTCCAAAGAACAAAATGATATATTTGATTTATGAAGATATCATTGGAAAAGAACCACATCCAAAGTCCAGGACAACTTGTCCGTCGTATACCATTTTATTTTTAAATATTCATGAAAGCACAAATAAGGGAGTACTTACTTAAGAATCATAGTCATTGTTTCTTTTCGATCTTTTCCTTGGAAAGGTAGTGTGCCAGTGAGCATTTCAAACTGAAGAGGCAAAATAATGCTGTTAGCCAAGAAGGATAAAAATGTAAAGGCTAGAAGGTTAAAAAAATCATCATAATTAGTAGCAAATCTGGAAATATTACATAATACAAGTGATTTATACTTCTGCCATATGTACCCATTGTTGACAAATGAACTAGTTGTTTTGCAGAAAATATCTTTTAAATGGCAACTTAAGATATACATGTGTAAATGTGCCAGTTTCAAATGGATTTATTTTTAAGATTTATTTTGTCAGTTGTCCAATATTTTGTGTTTTTTATTAGTTACTTTGTTATATTTTCCAGTCACAACATAAGAGGTAAGTGAAATACCTTTAAGAATACCTTTTTTTTTAAGAATACCTTTCTGTATCAATTTCTCACAAAGAGTAAAAACTGTTAAAGATTAGATTACTATTATTTGCAGAAAGTCTAGGGTGACATATTTCTGATTTTCCAAATTAGGACACAATGGAAGTAGCTAGTGTGTTCCACAGTTCTTTTGTACTCAATGTTATGATTTTCTCTTATATATGCAGTATGAAAATATCAATTCACTGGTGATTCTCATTTAACAAGCAAAACAAGAACAAAACAAAGGAAGATAAAACCCAAAGCTTACCATCAACACACCAAAAGACCACCAATCAGCACTCTGAGTATGACCACGACGGTTAACTACTTCTGGAGCCATATATTCCACAGTTCCACAAAAAGAATAAGCCTTCTTTTCATGGTCAATAGACTCTTTACTTAGGCCAAAATCTAACAGGATAAATATGGAATTCATTAAATATACTGTAATTACTCACACATGCCAATTTTAAACTTTTGGGTTCCTACATTAATATAATTGCTTAAATATTTTAATCCATGTTTTAATTGAAACAATCAACTACTGACTATTTATACCATCATCAACCATAAAAGGAAATTCCAGAGGGACAGAAATATGTTTTTAAAATGAGGACTTGAGAGGGAGGGAAAAAGAGGAGCTGATCCCAAGGGCTCAATGGAAAGTAAATGTCGAGAAAAAAACGATGTTGTAAGAGCCCCCCAGTAAAATGATCTAAGTTGAAAATAAAATGAGGGCTTTTACCTGTTAACTTGATGTGACCTTCTTCATCAAGAAGTATGCTAAATGAAAACAAAGTTGTAAAAATCTTTTAACACCAAGAAACAGAAACTTAGGGAAGCTGAAATTGAAATTTTTCCTGAAAGCATTCTAAAATATCACTTCAGCCTCAACGTGTGAAAAAGTAAAGGTAAAGGGGGGAAAGATTCATTGTCTGAATGAACTAATGAATACTAAAACCAGAACCAAACCCACCAGTTGCAAGACTGAATCGAACTCATAATGACCTTTTGGACAGATTAGAACCACCCCACAGGAACTTTATTACTGTACATCTTTAAAGAAACAGACGGCCACACCTTTCTCATGTGGAATGGTTGAGGGGCTCGAACCTCCAGCCACTAAGTAGGCAGTTGAAGGCTTAACCACTGATTGCAATAACTTTTATTGAGTCACAGGTACTTGAGAAGCATCCTACACAATTCTCCCTTTCTCTGACTTTTCATTGACTCATGCCTTTACATTTATCAAGTGTTTTCTCTCTTTCCCAGCAAACTGAGCTCCTAGAAGGTTGTGCTCTTATTCTGCTTTTTAGCTCAGTGTCTGGTAGCTCACTGACAAAAAGAATGAAAACGTGAGGTTCCTCTTAGGTAGGTTCAGACAAAGTGCATATAGTGCCATAGTGCATATAAAAGGAATTATTCAATGGTAGAAGCCATCTCCTTTTGTACTGAAAATATTACACAAGTTAAGTGAGTCAAAAACTAAAATACCCTCAAATTACTCATTTAGTTTGGAGGGGAAAAAAAAAGAAAAGCAGCTATGTCTAATAATTTTTTTTCTTTGAAGGACTATATGCTTGAACATTTAATTCCACCAGGAATTAGATTTTATGTCATGGTAGTTAGAGATTGGGAAAACAGTGAGGAAAAAGCCAGTAATTATCTGAGGTATAAAACAATACCATTAAATTCATACCACAAAACAAAATAGAAAACAAAGACATGTGAAAGCAAGCTTTCTACACAATTAGTGAACTAGACACCAAAAGAGCTCTTTTACTTCCTGTGGCAGTATAGAATGAATATAATTATTTTAAATAGACAATTTTGAAAAGGTGATGGTTCCATAACTCTGAACATATGAAAAATTACTGAACTCTATAAATTTAAACCAGTTAAACTGTATGATATGTGAAAGATACCACAATGAAACTGTTCAAAAAATTTTATGACAAAAATACAGCTGTTTATATTCTAAAAAAAAGAAAAATGATTTTTATGACATACTGGTAGATAGAGAATACTGACATTAAAACAGATGTGTACAATTTTTAGAGTCAGAATAGTTCTTTAGTAATTAGTCAGATATTGACAGTATCAGTTAACCGAAAACTGATAGTGACTTAATACTAACTGACATTAACTGAAGCTCAACTTCCACTTAAAATTGGAAACTACAGGAGATAAAATTTTTTTTAAATGTTGTGGGGTGAGGCAGTAAGCTAGCTCTACACTATTCCAGCCTATCAAAAATTTTCTAGATTAAAGTGAAAAAAAAAAAGGCCAGATGACAAATATAAAATCATGAGATATAGAAAGCCTTGCCAAGAATAGAGGTCATGGAAGATATCTTAAGAGTGATGGACATGAACCAGAAAAAAAACAGTGGGGGGACAAAAACGAGACAAACCCTACTAAGACAAAAATCAGGAAAATGCATTTACAGGATACAGAATGATTCCATTTCTTATTTGGTAAGGAAAATGGAAAGTCTGCCATCGAGTCAATTCTGACTCACAGCCACCCTACAGGACAGGGTGAAACAGCCTCTGTGGGTTTCCATTCTTAATGGGAGTAAGATAGCTTCATTTTTCTCCCATGGAGCCACCGGTGGTTTCAAACTGCTGACTTTGACAAAGGTTTCTTATAAACCAATGGAAAAAATTCCCATCTTAAAAGACAAATGGGTTAAAAAACAACAACAACAACAACAACAACAACAACAAAAGTCGAATGGGTAAAGGCTGTGAACAGAAATATACAAATTACCAATAAACATATAAACAACATGCATTTTTAGCCTCATTAAAAAATGAATGGAAATAAGCAAGATAACAGAAATTTAAAATGTGTGCAGATACATAGTGTCAGCATCGGTCCTCTAACATAAACCTTGTGTGAGTTTTATGAAATATTTCCTATTACCTGCAAATAATCATATTCAATTAATGGCTGTTAAATTGATAGTATGATTTCTTACTTTTCTGGTTTCAGGTCTCTATAGATTATTCCCAGGCTATGTAGATGGTCTAAAGCAAGTGCAAGTTCAGCCAAGTAGAATTTGACATCTTCTTCTGTGAACATCACCTAAAATAAAACACCCATTTTTTTTCTGTTTATTTAGGATTTGTGATGTTTAGAGGACCACCATAGGTGTTTAAATACCAAAATATATTATAAGCATGGTTGTTATATTTAGTTTCTACTATTTACTTAGGGAATTAAAATGTGAAAAACTATCAGACAACTATTTACTTAGTAAATATTAACTATGGACAGTGGGGGAAATAATTTTACATTTTAAATAACAACTGTATTTGGCTTGTTCCATTTTGTGGCACCAAAGTATCATTTTAGAAATGAAAAGTGGTATTTGAAACATATGCTAGCAGAAAGAAAATGTTTTGAAAGCAATGGCAACACATGTACAAATATGTTTGATATGATTGATGTGTGCATTGTTTGAAGAGCTGTAAGAGCCCCCGATAAAATGATGTATTAATAATTAAAAAACCATCATTCAAAATGTTAGTGAAAAATACTGAATTAAAAAATCATGAAAATTTTTTTTACAAAGTACACTGAGTTTTCGCTATTAATTGTTAACAGGATACCTTGTTACTGCTTGAGAAAACCAGAAGCAGGGCTAAGGCAAAGGTAGTTGTCAATTTAAAGTCCTGCTTCCAGAATAAATGAAAAAGTTAGGAAAAGAACATTTTGCCCCTGATTCTATAACTTAAGAATCTTTTGATGCTAGAGAAAATACAATAACCACAATATTGAAATTTAACAAACCTTTAGATGGAACAGATTCATATAAAGAGATTAAAATAGACAATAATTATATACCTCTTTGGATAAGCGTGTAAACAAATCTCCTCCCCTGAGAAAATCCAAAATAAGATACAGCTTCCCTTCAGTTTGAAAAGCTGAATGAAGAAATGAACATTTCCATTTAATTCCTGAAGTTCATGGTTTTAGGCTTACACATGGTCAACTCATTCACAAATATATAAATATAACTGCTAGTAAATTACTGCTTATGTTATAGACACAAACTTATTCCATTCAGCAGGAACCCCCAAGCACTGCATTTAACATTTCCCTTAGTATCTAAGTGGAAATGTTAAATGCAGTGTTTCTTATTATGGAATCATTAGAACATCTGCTGGATTTTTCTTTAGATGAGAGTCTCTAAGTAATCTAAGATTCCAGCTCAGGTGACCAATGAGGAAAGCTCCAAGAGAAAATCTTAATATCATGAAATAAAATACAAGAACACTACACTAATAGTAAATAACGAGGGCTCCTTACATTTAAGTACACAAGATTAGGAATTACGGAGTCTTTAAGCACTGAGAAAGAAACACAAGGTTTTGAGGAAAAGGCAGGAAGGGAATTGTTATCTTGGCATTATGGATCTTTCTTGCTTTTAAGTTGTGTTAATACACATGGACTATTAAAATGCTGCCACATTCTTAATACAATGCATTAGTATTACCTGTTCCTATGGGAACTACTCACAAATTATAATATATACTTAAATATGCATAAGATGCTTAAAAGAAAAGTAAGTCAAGCACAATAAAATCTTTTAAAGTTTGTCTAAAAAGCTCTAGTTTAATTTACGACTTTACTATGTGTATCTGCTAAACTCTTATGAATATAAGCACATGCGTTTACATACATTAGTACATTTGCATGCATCTAGGAGTTGGGGATAAGGTCAAGGACTGTGGTGGTTTCTAACTTACCATAATGCAACTTGACAATAAAAGGATGATTAACTTCTACCAAGATATCACGCTCCATTTTTGTCCGAACACGGTCTCGAACTGGAAAACATTGCACAAATTGCTACATTACAATGACTTTCAGAGAAATTGTTTCTGGTACTATTTAAAATGAGATTTGGGTAATATGATTAAAAAGGTGAATGTGTCCAATTTATTACTGTGGTACCTTCAAAAATTAACATCTCTTCTAAGTTTTATATTGAAAAGACACTGCACATATTTATAAAATCTGTACTTTAAAAAGAGAAGACTACAATGTTGGTTTAACATCAACTTTAAAAGTATTTTCAGTTTTAAAATAAGGCAAAAACCAACACAACAAATCCCAAACTTTTGATACTTCTAGCAACCCTACCAACTCAATTAAACAAACATTCATTCATTAATCTATAGAACGTGGCTGTTGTGAGAAAGCTAAAGATACTGTGGTAGGACAACTGAAGGAGCAAAGGCATTTTGGATGAAAAAGATTTAGATTCAGACCTACAAATTTTTGACCAAGTTACTTAAGTTGTGAGCCTGTTACTTCCCATGTATAAAATGGGGAGGAAGGCACACAATCATTGAGGAGACTGGTATGTAAGGGATAGTCAATGAAAATTTAGCTATCATTATTCGTGTCCGTGTATCATATAAAGGAGCAGCCCTGGTGGTGTGATGGTTACACTTTGGGCTGCTAGCCATTAGGTCACCAGCTTGAAATCACCAGGTGCTCTTCAGGAGAAAGACGAGGTTTTCTAATCCTATAAAGAGTTACAGTCTCGGAAAGTCATAAGGGAAGTTCTATCAAGTCCTTAAGTAATAACTGCCTATTCCTCCATCTCCCTCCTCCAACGATAATACTAGTAAATGCTTGTTACGTGAAATAGATGATGTTTTCATCTTTGGGGTATTGTGGATAATGCTGCTTTCAATTTTTTGAGGTACATTCCTAGGAATGGAAGTGGTTGGCCCTATGGTATTGCTACAATGATCTTTTTTGAAAAATCACACAACTGTTTTCCATTATGCTTGCACTGTGTTACATTTCCATGAGCAACACGAGGGTTCCGGTTTGTCTACATGTTTGCCAATGCTTATTATTTTCTATATTTCTAAGAGTCATGTTAGCAGATGTGAAAGGTTAACTAATTGTGGTTTTGATTTATATCTCCCTAATGAATAGGGATGCTGAGCATCTATCTTTTCATGTGCTTGTTGGAGATTTACATATTTTAATCTACTGAGGTTATTATGCATATATCTATATAAATGAAGTTCATCTCCAAGGTCTGCTGACCATTGTGCTGCAGGCCAGCCTAGCTCTGTCAGCTGAACTGCGCTCTATATAGTACCAGTGGATGATGGTTTCGGAAGCAGATCTCCGTGGTTTTATTCAGAAAGACCTTTAGGTGACCTGCTGCCCACACAATTTTGGGCTGGGATCTTATTATCTGAAAGCTGTCCTTTAAATACCTACCTCTCTCTAAAGATGTACAAAGCCTATGGAAATTTATTGTTTAAAAATTGTCCTCTGATCATTAACAATATGTATAATTTGGGACCATTTTCTTTAGATTATGATGATATAGTGAGACAGATTTCTTTCCAACATTTCCTTATATGTTAACGTTCATGAAACCTTGTTTAATTAAAAATGAGCAGTGAAATTTACTCACTCAAGAATTCCTTCATTTTTTGAGGTATGATTGTATAAAAATTCTAATCTGGTTTCTTTTGCTTATGTAAGAGTGACAAATATAAATCATCCTACACTCAGGAATTTTGATTAGTATATACTGGTTCAGTAGAAGGCATGCTTTGTATTGGTTAAACTCTTAAGTACTAAAATAGAATTTGTTAATACTGACTCATGCTGGCAAAATAACGACATTCTTCTGAAACAAATTTTCTTATATGAAAGTTACTAGAATGAGTGTGATGAAGGGAAATGCTATATACGAATGTTTCTAGGATTATGTATTAACAAATTGTTTTAAGCATCAGTTTGCAAAAATCATTTAGGTTCATCGATTACTATGTAGGGCAAAATTCCCCATAAACTCAACCTAACATTATTGACCTCACTTACTGTACAAATAGGTACCTAGAAATACCTCTGACGAGAGGTCTGGAGATCTACTTAAAAAAAAAAAAAAGAACGAAAACCCCTGGATCACAGTTCTGCTGACATAGGTCATGAGCTGGAAATGATTCAATGCAATCTGGTTAGGTTGGATTATTGTACCAATACCCTCCAAACCCACCTGAAGTCTACTGTCATTGAGGAGATTCTGACTCTTAGTGAACCCATGTAAGGTTTCTGAGACTGTAAATCTTTATGGCAGCAGATAACCCCACAGGGGCTGGTAAGGTTTAAACTGTCTTGTGGTTAGCAAGACAATGCTCAGCCCATAGCACCCTTATGAATGGTGTTTTATAAAAAAGGGAACAGATGAGATCGGGAGCGTGGAGCTGATACCAAGGGCTCAAGTAGAAAGCAAATGTTTTGAGAATGATGAGGGCAACAAATGTACAACTATAGATGTATGTATGGATTGTGATAAGAGTTGTATAAGCCCTCAATAAAATGATTTTTAAAAAAAAGAGGAGCTGATACCAAGGGCTCACGTTGAAAATGTTTTGGAAATGATGATGACAATATATGTACAAATACGCCTGATACAATGGATGCATGGAATGTTTTAAGATCTGTAAGAACCCCCAATAAAATGATCTAAAAGAAAAAAAGCGGGGGGGACAGACACTGAGAGTCACACATACAAGAAAGAAACAAAGTGTGGGGCCCTCTAACAGGCAAGAAATGTCATTATATGAATAAGAACGTAAAAAAAAAGTATGCCTGACCTAATTGAATTATGGATTGTTATATCTGTGTGGACTCCCTATAAAGAAAAGGCATTTGGTTAAATAAAAAATTCTTTGTTCTTTTATTCACAAGGACAGGAAAGCATTAGAAGAAAAAGGTAAGTGACAACTAACATAGCAGATAAAAGACAGCTAACTAAAATGAGGGAAGACTAAAAGATTCCCTAGGTGCTAGGGAATCTTTGTAAAAACCAAGGTCTCTTCAACAAATGAACTACCAAAAAACCCCACTGAGTTACAGCTAACAGTGGTGTTATTATGGTTGGTGTCACCCTATGTGGTGACTCAGTGTCCTCCTCATACCCTGGTCCTTTGCCGCTTCTCCCCCTCCCACTGGCCAGGGCAGAGGACCCTCTTCTTGCTGGTGAATAGAGGGATGAGATGAGTGTGTGGGGCATGTTCATAAACTATCACACGGAGTGCTGATGGTTGATAGCAAATCTATTGAGGCCACAGCTTTGGCAGCTTTTCTCCTGGGACACCTGTTCACTATTTAGGACCTTGGAATCATTTTGGTGTCTTAGTTCTCATCCTTTCACACCCAGGTGATGCTTGAGGGATATCAGTTATCAGTATCCTGACTCAAGCACATTGGAAGGAAAAAGGTAAATAGAAACATTGAGAAGCAATATTCAATTTTTTTTTGCTTAATTAAGTAAAGAGTAGTATTATTTCTTTTAATAGTCTTTGTAAGAGGCTGTGGTGGAGCAGGGAGTTTACATGTTGGGCTACCAACCACAAGCTTAGTAGTTTGAACCCATCAACTGCTCCACAGGAGAAAGATGAGGCAAGGCAGGACCGAAGACAGTTGACAAAATTTTCAGTGGAGGAAAAAAAGGAAGATAAAATGGAAAATCAACAACAAAACGCCCCTATTCACTGCCATTGAGTCAATTCTAACTCATGATGACTCTATAGGGCAGCAGTTCTAAATCTGTGGGTCGTGACACCTTTGGGGGTCAAATGGCCCTTTCACAGGGGTCGCCTAAGACCATATTTCCGATGGTCTTAGGAACCTAGACACCACTCCTCTGTCTCCAGGTGAGTGTGCCCACACGCAGATATGCCCATATACGGGGGTCACCACAGCATGAGGAACTGTATTAAAGGGTTGCGGCATTAGGAAGGTTGAGAACCACTGCACAGGGCAAGGTAGAACTGCCCATGAGGGTTGCCGAGGCTGTTAATCTTCATGGATGCTAAGTAGAAAACTTCCTCTTTCTCCTTTGAAGAGGCTCGTGATTTCAAACTGCTGATCTCATGGGTTTGCAGACCAGCTTGTAACCATTATGACACCAGGGCTCTTTAAAAAAAGGTTGGGGGGGGTAGGAGGGGGAGAAACAGGGAAATTATGTAACAATCCTGGATATCAACCATATCCAGAGAACAAGAGTTACAACGTGGAAAGGAAAAGAGAGATGACTCCAAATTGAAGAAAATGTTTCTAGACTGAAAGACACCACACCTGGTACCTGGTAGGATGAATTTTTTTAAATCCAAGAGAAAGTTTTGGAATACTAGGAATTAAGAGTAGATTCTAAAAACTTCCAAAAGGGAAAGGTAGCTCAAGCACAAAGGTTTGGGAATAAAATGGCAATGCAATGCTTTATAAGACAGGAGGAGCAATTCCATCAGCACACCTGAGAAAAACATATTTCTCATCTAGAACTTTACACCTAGCCAAATTGCAGGTGGAATATCACAACACACTCCCTGTGTACTGACACTCTCTGGGGTACAAGCTGTGTTGCACTGCATCTAGAAAGTGCTAGAGAAAAAATTTCTGAAACAGAATTCAGCCAAAGAGGTTCTAGTCTAGGGAAAGTGAGTCCTGCATATCCTTTGGCTCAGCTAGATGCAATTTTTATAGAACTATAATAAAGAAAACGGTACTGAGAGGACAAGAAAATGGAAATTGTGTGTAGGTGGTAGCGTCAGAGGTTTGAATCTTCATTTTCTGTGTTAGGAAGTTAATAGATTGTCTTTAAATGCAACCAATCAAGGAATTAAATATAAGCACATTGGATTTGAAAGTAAATGGCAGACATAGAAGAGATGAAAGTCATTGCCCTTGAGGTCAAGGATTGGGCTAGGGAGGAGAGTAATACAGGCTGTTTTATTACTTTGATGATGATAAGAAATTTTTTTTTGATGATAAGAAATTAAATTTAAAAACACATTAAGAATTATTCAGCAGGCTACAATTCTAATTCAAATTAAAATACAATTTTAATTCAAGTATTTTCCGAGTGAGTTAAACATTGGACTGCTAAAAGAAAGATCAGCAGTTTGGAACCACCAGCTGCTCCACAGGAGAAAGATGATTTGTAGAGATGGTAATGGCTTTAGAATAAAAGATATTTTTCATCCAGTAATTTACTAAGTTTTACAAAGCATTAAAATAATTAATTTGAAGACAAAATTATTGGTATATCAAAATTCCATTTGCCTAAAGCCCCAAAATTTGTAATAGTGATTTCATAACACGACAATTTCTTTTCTCATTAATCATATGATTCTAAGTCCAATAGGAAATATTTAATACAAGAAAGTCTACACTTAAGACAGTAAGTACAAGGGACTGATTCAGACTGTATGTCAACAGCCTAGGAGTCATATGAGATCTACGAAGACCTTTCCATTCATTTATGGGGCAGAAACATGAAAATTTGATACGGAAGTCACACATACCTTTCAATGTGGCTTTCTTCAATACTTTCATGGCGTAAAGCTGTCTAGCATCAGAGCCAGAGATTTTTTTAACTAAGAAAACCTGTATGAAATGTAAGAAAAAATAAGTTTTATAAAGCATCACAGGCTATTAAAATAAAACCCCTGCTCTATATGTACCAGATAGATTCTAATACATGAGAGAATGTTTATTTCCCTTAGAATATATCAGTTATACAGAAATGGGACTAGAAACAGTGGTTACAACTTGGGGTGAAACTGTAAGCGAATTTTTCCCCTTGTTGCCTGTCAATTCCTAAGTAGCATGTAACACAAAAATTCACAGGGGTGGTGGTGTTGTGTGTGTGTGTACATTTTGAGCTATGTAGACAGTGAGAAGGTGGTGATGACTTCCACAAAAGAAAAATTCTTCTCAGTGCATAAAAATTGTTACATAGGAATAGATTCCCCTGGATTGTAATTTTCGGTTGCTGCAGTTCTTCATTAATGAAAGGTCTTTTTCTATAGATAAAACAGCATATAAATGTCTCACTGCTAGGCAGAACATGTTATAAGTACATTTATTTTCATATTTAATGTCATAAACCATAGCCACGAACACCGTTTTAAAACCAAATGATCACATATACCCAAGATATGAGGAAGACAATCCCAAGATATGTTGTGGAACAAGTGGAGTTTTCAAATGGTTTTATCTGCTTTCAAAATACTATAGTGAAGTATAAAATGTCAAAAGAAACAAAACACGGAGAGACGCACACATGTTAAAGGCAAAAACCAGAATTACCATTATATCCACAATCCTGAAGCAAGGAAGCAGAGACAGACACTAAAGCTGAACAAGGTGAAAGGGATTACACCAAAGAATATACTTTTATACAGGTTTGACAAGGGATGCCTATGTATTTTCATGCTCAAAAAATCCGTGAATATTGTCAGGTATATAAGGGGGCTTCAAAACATTTGGAGCAAACTGGAATGAAAAGATGAGCTTTCCCTGACAAACTTTCGGAAAGCCCACCATGCTGGTGGCAAAGCTATAACGACTTTTTAGCTATAACTCAAGACCTTGAGGGAGGGAGTTTGAGGGGGTCATGCAAGTCAATTAGCTTAAGATTTTCCACAAAGAATGGGAGAAATATGTGGAAACAAAAGTCAAAATCATAAAGCCCAGGCTTACTGGTCTGATAAAGACTGGTGTATGGCCTCTAGACACTCTTCAAGCTTCAGGCTTCTAAGATTGAACAGTAACACCAGGAAGGCATACTCTCCTTCGATAAACCAACCATTCTGAATCAAAAAGGCAGCATTTACCCAGAAATTAAATTCAGAAGACAGGAAGGGATAGTAAAGAAGGGCAGAAGGAAATGGGAAACACAAGTAGGAGATGGGAAGAACGATTGTGGGGCTTGCAATAAATGTCATAAAACAAAAAAATGAATTACTAAATGGAAAACCAATTGCTTTGTGAACGTTCACACCACTCAGTTAAAAAATAGAGTGTAAAATTATGGTAAATGAATAAACTCTAGGCTAAACCATTCATGATCATACTATAGTATGGCTAAGAGAAAAGTATCGATGAATCTGTTCTACGCATTGATCATTAATTTCATAATCTTTGCTTCCAAACCTTTAAACAGACCTGCTAAATGGATACGAATTTCAGCTTTCCCCTACCCATTTTGTTAGTGTGCTGGCACACACAGGTGGGAAAGAGAGACACCATTGCTATCAAGAATCAGCTTTAGGATTAGCTTTTCATTTTCTGTAGTAGTAAACTAGATTATTAGCAGAGGCCATCACTTGAGAAATTGTCAAAAGGAATGAGCAATGACTATAAGTCAAGGGAGTAGCACCCAACAATTGGCATCTAAACCCTGTAAATCCTCCACCCATCCACCCTACCCTTTCAGCCAGCTAGCAGGGAGTCGACCGCAGCTGAGAAAAGCATTCGCATCAGGGTTGTTCCTAAGGTGGCATGATGCACACATGTTTAAGAGAATCAAAGGTTATTTCTATTTTGAATAAATTCTAATTCAGATAACTATGCTCTATCTGTCAATTATTCATCCTTTACCTTCCTTAACCAAGCACCTTTGTTTCATTTTACAAGAAAAATTCTCCTCTCACTGATTCCACTCTTTCATCAACTGTTCTCTGAAGGCACCCTCTGAACACTTTTCATAACTTTTCCATGTTCAGAATATTTCTACGAGGTCATCCTGACAGCAACAGGCAGACTGAGCACTGCTTATCTTGTAGCTGGCTTAACTGGGGTTTTGAGGGGAAAATAATTTGCCTAGTCACAGGACATGAACCAGGTCAGGCAGCCAGTCCTGTGCTTTGGCCCAGAAGGGTTCTGTGTCGTCTCTGACTGAGTAAGCAGCCCAGCCCAGCAGGAGCAGCAGCAATCACAGATGTGATGGGACCTTCATCCAACAGAGCTGGCCTGACCTTTCTAACACCCCCAGGAAGCTATTCTAGGCTCTGACAGGTCATCCCCATTTCCTTGACTTAGATTGGTCTAAAAGGATGAGTAAGAAAGGCAACACCCTATTTCCAATGTTTCCTATTTATAGTTAGGTTTTTAAGTTACTGCTAAAGAATAAAAGGAGAAGCACACTAAGACCTAGGATCTTAAATATTATGTTCTGAAAATCTAATGCATGGAAATAAACCCATCTGTTTGTGTTTTGCAAATGGGCCTGGCAAAACAATTTAATGCCATATTACGAAGGGGCCTTGGATTGTGTGTTGGGCTGCTAACTTCAAGGTTAGCAGTTCAAAAGCACCAGCCACTCGACAAAAGAACTACTCCTGTAAAGGGACAGTTCTACTCAGTTCCGTAGGGTTAAATCCACTTGATGGCAGTGAGCTTACTTTGTTTTCTTCTTTCTGTTTTTAATTAAGGGGCCCTGGTGGCACTGTGGGTTAAGTACTAGGCTACGATCAGAAAAGTTGGTTGAAACCGACTATCTGCTTCAAGGATGATGAGGTTGTTTGCTTTTGTGAAGATTTCGTCTCAGAAACCCTATAGAGGGGTGTTATGAGTTGAAATTGAATCTATGGCCCCTGCATTGGCGATGGAACATAGTTAAGCAGGGGAGGCATCCAATAAATGCAATTATACCAATGAAAAAATTACAACTGTGCCAAATGCTACAAAAAAATGTTAGTTCTGAGAGGAACATGACCTGGTTAGCAAGGGCGGGACACTTCTGTAAGACCATAAACATAAGAGGGGATAACCAGATGGAGGGGTGGGGCTCGGGTTAGGGCACAGAGCTGAGATTACAGACAGCCACGTGGACCAGCTTTTCTGGTGGGACAGAGCCTGGCAGATTGATGGATTGAAAAAGAAGGCTAATGTGGGCAGAATGCAGATAGAGAAAACTGTACAACTTTATCTTCAAAGTGAAGGAAGCCAATGAAGGGTTAAAAGATAGATTAAACTCACGCTAGTATAAATTATGGATTGAGGCATTAGAACAAATCTGGAGAAATCCAATTAGGAAACTCCTTCCACAGCCTAGGGAGAAATGATGGTAGAGAGAGTGAAGAGGCACAATGGCCGAGATCTGTAACTGAATCAACAGGACTGGGGAGGGATCTCGTTAAGTTCAGGAAATGGGAAGGGGTGGGAATGAGAAGGACAAGCTAGTAATGCCTCCCCCATAGTTTTGGCCTGCTTAACTGGATGCCATTCCTAGTCATGTTGAGAAATGAAACAGAACAGGTTTAGAGGAAGAGCAAGGCTGTGCATTTGGTTCGTGTTGAGTTTAAAATGCCTTTCGGCTTAAGAGGAAGCCAGTTTGCAAGAGAATCTGGGAAATGTAATTTTCAGAATTCCAGCTGCAAGTATGGAAAGGAGTATTGAAGTGCAGAGCTGAGATGACAGGTAGATAACCAGTATACCTTGCCAGAAGCAAACAAAGGTAAAATGTTAAACAAATGGTGCGTGTGTGTTCAGATATATGGGTATGTTTATAATTTCTCTTTGTTTACACAAATGTTAGTTTATTTTATACATTGTTTTGCACTACAATTTTTATTTTATTTAATACATTTTGGAAACTTGTTTCAAAAAAAACAACAAAAAAACCCCAACTTGACCAAACATTTGTCACAGAATGTTTAGGTCCATTAAAACAAAGTTTAATGAGAAAAAAAAAAAAAAGTCTTTCGGATATACAAATGGAAAATTCAAAAGATCAGTTGTTTTCAGAATGCAAAGCTTGGGGAAGCAAACTAGACTGGAGACATAAACCTGTTACAACAGCTGTATGTGAATTAAAATTAAAATGGTGAGCAGAAAAAAACCTATTAAAGAGAGTAGTAGAGAGTGAGAAGATAGCATTGAGAGATTTTAATATTAAATGGTTAGCTAGATGAAAAAAATGGGGCTCCAAACTCACAAGTTTTTCGAGCATATACTGAGAACAAACGGAAGAGTGAAAATTAAAAAAAAAAAAAAAAAAAAGAACCCAGGCCTGAATGACGTGAGCCCAAACTTGCAACCATTTTTTACATTTACAACACCACCAATATTATTGCATATATAACAAATTTTGAGTTCTTTTACAGACAAATCACAAGTCCCAAAATGTTCAGGCTTGTACAATGTAGCCTTGACTCTAGTTCTAGTTTCACCAGAGTATTTAATCCCTCAATGTCTTCTATTAGTGATATTGGGGAGAAAAGGTTGAGATGTACTTTTACAAATATATTCCAATTCAACACAAGGACTCAAAAGAGGGGTATCTTGTGATTTTTAATCATTCAAGAAACACAACTACAGAAGTCAGATGATCTTAAAGATAAAATGAATATGAAATGCCAATATATGAAAGTTCCCGATGTACTTCTGAATAACTTCATTTACTGTCCCACATTTACGGATAATGAGAAATTCAAAGACATACAAAACAATGTTTAGAAGGATGACTGGGAGCATTTCATAAATGATTCACATTTTTCTATGCATAAGAAATATACACAAATTATTTTTTATCTTTAAAAGAGAAACATTCATGACTTACCTTTCCAAATGATCCCTGTCCTAATACTTTTAAAAGTTCAAATTGAGAAGGATCTGCCTTTTCATGTCCTTCCTTTACATGATGTGTGATTGCAATTTCTTTGATGGTGCCTTCTTCCTATTGAGTCAAATACAAAAAGAGAACACCCAGTCAAAGCTACTTTCTCCTGGTAAAATTCAAGTAATAGGAATTCAGCTATCAGTTTAGAGGCTCTCGTATTCATACATCTAAATAAACTTTGTTGACCTACTAAGTAAATAGAAAACAAATCAGGAAAATATACCTCTAGGTTAAATATCTGAGAGAATACCAACCCAGCATGTGGGTCAATTTAATGTATTCATAACATTACATTTGAACAATTGCAAGTCTCCATGTGAAGAATGAATATTTTCAGAGAGTAGGGGCAGAAGGCGTAAAACCCAATGGACCAGAGAATTCTGCTGAGTTCGTACAACCCTATACACAGACACAAAAACATCTTTTGGGGGAGAAGGTTGAAACTATTCCACAGTAAATGTGAAAATGTCTACTCCCAGTGTGGACATCTGAGTAAGAACACTTTTTTTCTGTTTGAAATATCTAAGTTGTTTTCTGTTTCTAGGGACTATCTGAGAGTTGAGAAAGGAACAGCGCTAAAACAAAGTAAAAAAGGAATGAACATTGTGTTGGAGGAGGAGAAATGGAATAAATGACTATCCATACCTCGATGGCAAGTGAAGGTTAAGAGAAAACATTTTAAAGACTCTGATCACTTCAGTATATTAGAGCAGAGGTATTAAAAGACACAAATCTTGAAGATATGGATTTCAATTGCTTTTTTTAAATGTGAACAAGACATACAGAACCTTAATTTAACCAGGACACTGGAATGTATTTTAACCACGACACTGGAATGCACAGCAAAAAAGTTTCAACAATAAAAACAAAGTGCAATAAATCCAAAAACATAAGCCTGCCCAATATCTTGTAATTTGTATTTTGTGGAATATAATGTCATTTTATTTTTTTCTAGGTACATAGGTACTATTAGTACAAGCTAAAGTATTATACAAACACAATTCATTATTGCTACTGTGATTGTACATATAAATGTTTGAGCTATATGAAACATTTTGAACATTCACAGAAAGTTGGCAACACAGGGAATTACACAGATCTCTGACACACACACACACACACACACACACAGCATATCCTAATATGGAAGCTCTTGAAAATCAGTAACAAATCAAAAACAAACCCAAACAAATAACCTATTAGAAGAAAACACGTCTACCATTTGATTCCCTAAGAGGCTGTAGCTTGTAGAATATCCTCAATTATTTTAGTCTCTTTGGGAACTTTGGCAAAAAAATTAATCTATATACACACACAAGATCAAGATTGAAATACAGCAAGCATTTATGAAGCATCTTTTTCTTTCTTTTATTTAAATTAAAATTTCAGCTTCACAAGAAAACCTCTGGCTACATCTGAAGGAGGGGTTTCAACGGTTTGTTGAAATATTGCATTATCTTCCAATTCCATTTTTCCACAAATTTTTTGAGGACTGATAGTAACAGAGTAAACTTTACAAAACAAGCAAAAACATTTCGGAGTTTTATCTATATTCGCCCATTCACCGTGAGAAATTTGACAGACACTTAAGGCAAAATGGCTTGAATATATTTTCAAGTTTTATGAGACCAAGCGACTATTTAAGACACAAGTCAGCAAACTGGTAGAGTCAGGGCTCAATTCTAGGTCTTCTGACTTCTACAAAAGGACTGTCCAAGAGCAATAGACTGGAAGGTTAGACAGATCTCTTGGGCATCTGAGAATGGCCTGTACCACCTTGGGTCAGATTTCTCAGCTTGTTAAAGTAGCTGTTACTGAACTTTTGGTGACAAGTTCTTTATCAGTAAAACCCCAGTTTTAGCAGGTAAGTATTCATAGTCACTGGTTTATAATTTACTTACCTAAAATATATGAAGTTAAATAATATGGAAATGTTATTAAAGCTTTCTGTACCCCCAAATACTAATAAAGTACACTTGCGATCTCATAAGGAAAGGATCCTTTCAAATGCCTATCTGGAATCTAGCAGTCATTCAGACCGTGAGGAACTATACCTTGTTACATGGGAAGCGGGGATGTGATTTAATAGGCGACAGATCTTTTTTTTTCCTCCCTTGCATTTTCTATTTCTTGTGGCATCATCAAGCTCGCTTGATTACTCCTATCTCTTTCTGCACTGCCCACTTCAATTCATACTATCGAAAAATTCATTTCCTGAAAGCACACAGTTCCAGTCAGACTACATGAATCGTCACACTCTTTGCCCAGATGAAATGCAGTGCGCTTCACTTAGGCACTCAGGGCCCTCTACAGTATGGTCTCAACCTACCTTCTGGGTAACATATCAGATAATGACAGAATAACTCATGATACAAAGCAAGTTTTCTTTCATCCCCATCTTTGCAAGTGTAGACACCCCTCACCTTTCTCACACAGAATGACTGGTGTTTTCAAACTGCTAGCTTTGCAGTTAGAAGCCCAATGGGTAAACCATTACACGAACAGGGCTGTTCACACTGCCATAACTAGGCCTTAAAAAATATTAGTTTTGCCCTTTGATAAATTTCTGAATTTTTTAACCTTAAGACAATGCCTACTGACTTAAAGAGGGGCAACACACAAAGGTGTGTCAAAAAAATAACAAAACGTGCTTGAGAGACTCATACTGAGTTCCTTTTCAATATTCCTTGAATTTTGGGAACCAGAAGAATTGTGAAGGAGCAAGCTCAGGGCTGGAGGGTGGCTGGGGTAGAGTTCTCAAATGAATTCTCGTAAGGCAGCCCTGACTACCTTTGTAGTGAAGCAGATGAGTTGTCATGATGGGGAAAATAATTCCTCAGTGCCACTTTCAGCACCCCACCCCCCCTACCACAAATGCAGTTCAGTCTTCTTAACACTTCTCCGAGTCTCTGTTGTGTCAGTTTCCAGTTTCTTTTGAGAAAATCTATTATGATCATTCCCTGGGAATCTGTAAAAGTGGGGATGGCTGGATAATTACTATAACCTTCTGAGCAGACACAGATCGCCAAAGAAGATACTGTTTTCACTAGACTTCAAATAATTTTTAAAAGTAAAACTCAACAGAAACGAAGACCAGTATTTACTGAGAGAACTTGCTCCACCCACCCACTGATAACACAAACAGGTTCTCACGGGGTTTCTTTGGAACAGACCCAGGCAAGTATGAGCTGGAAGCCTACTATCAATATTTTGCCTTACCATCACATTCGGTCCGTTCTTTATACTAGCTTCCTCCTGTTTGGCAGTGATCTTACTTTTAAATAAACCTTTTGACTTTTCTGTCAGTTTTGGGCAGAAAGAAGGTAATGGTGTACTAACATTCTTTCCCTCATACTTATTACTCGCACCTCCTTTCATCTAGTGGTAGCTGTATTTCCGTTTTTATTAAAATTAAGAAAAATTAACATATTCCTCTTGAAATAATAGTCAAATCTTACATGCTCTCTCTGTGACCCGATTATAAAGCTAAAAGCCATAACCCATATTATCATGAGAATAAAAATATTGCTCATGTATAGACTAGGTCATAACTCCCTGGTCAATCCAGAGACTGTTACTGGATGCTTTCCTCCAACTCCTTTTTCAAATAATTCACCAACTGCTTAGATTCATGATAAATTCTACCTTGACTCTTAATAGGGCTATGGATTTCTTTGTGCAGGTTTCTGTTTTGTGTTTCTAACAGCTCCTCCTTTTGTGTGTGGGGGGGAGAGATTCATTCACTATTGTTCTTAAAAGTTTCTTAGCTCTTACGCATACTTTCCATGCTTCTGAAAGCCCCTTTCGCTCCTGGAGACCTCCCTCCCCCTGCTCTCCGGATGGGCTGCTTAGTAGGCCGCCTGCACAACTGGCACCTTGGGAAAATCCTGGAGTGCCTTTCTGCCTGAATTTACGCCTTTCCGGATTCCCACGTCCCCTCTTTCTTAGATTACGCCCCTGTAACTGCCTAAGAAAGGTGAGCTAGAAGAAAACTTTCTGATGCGCCAATGTCTCAAAGCGTCTTTTAGTTTGTCTTCACATTTGCATAGTTTGGCTTGGAACCAAATTCTAGGGTAAAAATAATCGGGCCTCAGAACTTCGACGCCACTGGCCAATGGCCTTCCTGCAGCTGGTGTTGTTGACGAGATGTGTGGTGTTTGCCTGATGTACATACATTTTTTAGTAGGTGACCTGCTGTTTCTTCCTGGATGCCTTAACGACTTTCTCTGCCCTTGTATTCCTGAAATCGCAGCGCTAGTGAGATCGATATGGATAGTCTTTCCTTCAGAATGTTGCTTGCTTGGTGAACCTTGCAAGTATGCGACCTGAAGTCCAACATTTCTTTCATAATTTCTTGCCATCCAATCCATTTTTGAAACTCTTCTAGTATGCGACTTCTCTCTGAAACAGAATCCTTTATGCCTTCCACTTATCCTTTTACTCTACTTATCTTGTTTTCCTTTGCAGACTTCTTTGACTATCCTTCCATCCTCCCATTTTTAAAATTCTAGCAAATCTTAAAATACAAGTGCTCCTCTTCTCAGTGTTCCTTTTTTCCTAATTAGTGCCTCCTTGACTCCAACCCACCTCGGTGAATGCAATCATTCCAAATCTCAGAGGATGAACTGGAATAACAAAAAATCATTTTCTACATTGGGGCCCAGAGGGTGCAGAAAACGTTCGTGCGGATGAGTGTTTGACATTGACCGAAGCTTCAAGTCTAGTCCCTATTTTGCCCTGAACACAAGTTTTCTGGTGGGTACCTTCAAATCGATCCCACTGCATAGCAACGCTATGTACAACAGAACAAAACATTGCCTGGTCCTGTGCCCTCTTTATGACTTTCACCATGTTTGAGCCCTTACTGCAGCCAATGCGTCAATCTTGTGTAAGCTCACAGCAAAATATTGATGGTCGACAACTTATTGCCCAGGTTATGATTTAAAAATGAGACATACTTTTGATTATATTTTATGTTGCCAGTTACTGCAAGCCATGGAACCAGGAATGTTTTAGAAACAAACCTGAAGTTCTCTAGGACAAAACAGTGAACTTTG